CTGCTTGTTTTTTATGATTTTGATTAAATCTAAATATCCATTATTTGATTTGTTGGAGAGAAGGGATTTTTCAATTACGTTTAAATCAAGCCTTTTTACCACCACTTTTTTCCCAAATTTTTGTTTACTTTTTAAAGCAAATCATGGTATTAATTTTTCATACAATAAATTTAAGTCATTATCATTTATTGACAATGATATCTATTGGTTCAAAATTAGTAATGGGTTTGATAACGATTATAAAAGTTTTATTGTTATTGTGTAATGGACATTTGTAGATTTTTATTTTTTGAAAATTTTATACATATTTTTATAACAAATTGATTGACATTTCTCTGATTTATAGATGAATTGTCAATTAATCAAGTGGATAGTAACATTAATTTGATGTTTACCTTGAGTTCTGAAGCAGTGTTTGATAAATCACAACATGGACTGATTGTTGTAATATCTTGTGCTTTAGTTGCAAAGAATTGGAGCTTATTTCCACCAGCTGCATAACAAAGGATATAAGGAACTTGATGGTACATAGAAAGGTTCCATAATTCATTTTTATCTGACAATTCAGATATTGCCTTATCAATATCATTGATCTTTTCTTCCCCTTTAAGTACTAAAATATTTTTCATCCAAATCAAATAATCAGGATGGAATCCATGTACAATAGTTGTGTTTTTATCAGTAACATTATGATCAATCTTTATATCTTGACCAAATGCCTACCACAGAATAAATATCTGTTAGTCTTTATTTTAACATAATTAAGGTAGATAATATTCTATTATCTACCTGACTTAATTTTTCCCAAGTACAACCCATTAACCTATCATATTTAGGGAATCTGATTATTTTCTGATCCCTGTATAATATGCCCTGTTGCTGACATGCATTCATAAGAAAAACCAGCTGCAGGTAGGGTTTTTATTCATGAATATCATTAAGGGGGTTACACACTATTAAAACAGCAAAAAATCCCTTAAAAACATGAGTTGATCACTTGATTTTAATAGTGTGTGACCATGTGTGACCCCTTATGATATTCATGAATATATACAAACCCTAGCTGCAAGTGTATTTTCTTGTTCATCAATTATGAAATATTTGAATTTTTCTTTCCAACTTGATATCCACGTTTGATATTTCTCTCTAATTATTGGTATTTTAATCTTAAATGGTGTCAGCAGAATTTCAGATAATTCTTCTGTGGTGGGCAAAAGGTCAAATTTTTCAAAAAATGATTCTTTAATTTCGTTTGTAATGTCCTTTTTACCAATTAAATAAAAATGTATTTAATTGAGAATAATTTAATTTTTTTTAATCTTTTTGAATATTTGCTTCAAGTTTACCTTTATTTTTTTTTAATTCTAAAAATGATAGTAAGAGAAGTTAAAATTAAGTTAGTTAAAGTTTGCAATTGGTATACCAAATGATCACTCAAATAGATAAATAAAAAGATGGAATGAATGGAAAAAAATTTATGTATATTTATCAGACTAATGGATTTTTGTTGTGAAATCTTTACCCTTTTGTAATTCTACAATGGTATTTTTTAATTCAATGATTGTATCTTCTAAATTTGATTCATTTTCCTGTGAGTTGGAAATTCTATTAATATCAAAAAATCCAAATTAATTGAAAATAAAATGGTCAGTCATATCCATTTGAAGAGAATATAATTTACTTGTTACTTACTTTATTATTGTTTCCATTATATGGTAATAGTAACCTATTATAAACACAAAGTCAAAGTTTAGTCAAGTTTTAATTTGACGTTTATCAACCAGGGAATTTCAATATAAACTAGAGTGGTGATGAATGATGATAACCACCACTCTTAAAACACTTACTTGGTCAATGACTCCCCTTTGTTAATTCCGTTTTTTTCTCTTTTTGGTCGAAAAAGACATTTTAGAATAAAAAAGAAAAATAATTATTGTTTTGATCAACGCTTACACATTAATTATTTATCCTATTGGTTTTTTTTTGTTGCACAAGGAATTTTTTTTTGGGACAGACATGAATTGATTTTTTTTTTTGAAAAAACAATTTATTTTTTGACAGAGTCCAAGGTAAGGAAATATGAGTGTTGTTGTTTGGCATGGTTTGGTTTGATTCTCCTAAAGAAGAAATGTTAATAATAGAGGTACTATTTTTTGTATTGATATTTTTATTTTAGTTTATAAATATTTTAATTGGAATCAAAACGCAGAGCAGAACTTGCTGGGTAATTATAAGATTCTTATCAAGATGATAACAAATGAATGATTGGTATTTTGCTTTTTGTAATCATAGTAATATTATTATTATAATTAATTACAAGAAATTGTCAAGGTGACACACTGTTGAAAAGAAACATTTCAAATATGAAACAATTCAATATGCAATGTTTGATTATCAGACATTGAAGCATGCATGCTACCTTGAACATTACAGTCATTCTCTCATCTTCAGAAATTTGAGTTTTCGATCCATCTGGGACTTATCCCATCAAACTCTGATTGATAGTGGATCATTCTTGGACCATCTAAGATCAAACACAACAAATTCTTGTTTCATTGTCAAATCATCTATTTTTGATATCAGATTGTCTGAAGGTCCAGTATACCGACTAATAATATTTTTTATATCAAATAAAGATCCTCCTCTATGTAATGAAATATTATTAACGTTTTCCCAAATGGTTTTATGAACTGCAAAAAATCTTTGAGATACATAGATTGGGCTAAAAATATTGTGCAATTTTCTCTTGGATTTTTTTAGATTCATGCATGAGATCCTCAAATATAACAACAGTATATCATTCAGGATCAAATTTATCAGGATCAGGCATATTAGAAGGATGCATTGCCTTAAATGATACATCTTCAGTCTCTGCAAGTTTATTGAAGAAATCTCAAACAATATTCCATTTTGGCTCATTTAAAAATTTATAATGTCATTGCACAGAATATATCTGGACCAATTCTCTTTATCCGCCATTTTATTGCCTATAAGAAGGTTCATAATCATAGTAGTTTTTCCCGAATTGGAACTTCTGGCTACAATCATTCTAAATGGCCATGTTGGTGAGTATTTATTTCCTTGCTCTAAAGGCTGATACTCATTGTTGTTGTATAGAGTATATTCCATGTTTTTTTTTCAACTATTAGAGTAGTAAATTTATATCTTTAATTATGGATGAGATTATCAAAACTAATAGAGAATTGCACAAACAGTTGGCTGATGATGATGAAATCATATCTAAATATGAATCTACAATTAAATCATTAATGTGGGATCTTGAAAATAGCAATCTAGAAATTCATTAGCTGGGTAAATCCCTAATACAATGTGAAGCAGAAATTGAAACTTTGAAAAAGGATAATACTAATTTATCAATCAAACTTCGGAAGGCTTTACAGGATATAGTGTCTAAAGAGAAATTCATTGCCTTTAGAGAAGCATAGTGGAAATTTGAAATGTTACACTAATTTTTTATATTGTGCAATGTAGCTTTACAATACACAGCAAACATTCTGGCAATAAAAAATAAGTGATAAACTGGATTTAAATTTGATCCGAACTTGATCTCCGATTTAGAAAGGTAATAACTATACACTGGCGAAGTTTCAGAAGCAATGAGTTCTGTACAACATTTCGTGTAACAACAAACTTCCACTATGCTCTTTAGAGAGGATCAATTTATAGCATTAGAAGGTAAAATTTCAACATATAATAAGAAGCCAAAATGTCTTCTACACGCCAAATACAACTGCCAACCCAAATGAAATTGATGTAAGTAATGATAGTATTAATACCGCATGCAGAAGTCTTGATGAGTTCATACAAAGGCTGAATAATTCTACTCTAAACCAGAGGACTGCGGTGAATAAGCTTAATGAAATCACTATATTTGCTCATAGACTCTGAGATATTGCTAAATGTGAGAATGATTAATTGGCACCACTTCAGGTCCAAGTCCAGCAAAATCTTCAGGCATTTGGTCAGTCTAATAATCAACTTATACTGTTCCAGAATAATCTAGCTTGTCTTCATTAGGATTATACTAAGGTTGTCCATGATGGGGGTATACTTAACCAGACCCATAATGATCTTATCCAGATTCATAACGAACTTGTTGCAAAGCACAATAATCTCATTAATGCCAATGCTATCCAGGTCCATGCCCATAATGCTTGAATCCAGACTCATATTACTGATATTGGGTGGTTAAATAGAATGCAACTGAAATATAACAAATGGAAACAAAGAGCCAGAAATAGAAATACTAATCTTGACATTATTTGGTTTATAAACATGCCAAATTGAAGCCTTCATATCCTTATTATAACAGTATGGCCAGAACTGCCTGAATTCTCTGGGAGCATGGATGATGATGATGTTAATACTTTTACCAGAAGATTCCAAGGATTTCTAGCAGGTATTAATATTAACATAGCAGTTAAAGCAGATAGAGTTCGAGCTTTAGGTATACTAAGAAGCTGTTTGACTAATGATGCTGGTGATTGGTATGATGAAAAAATACTTGGAAAAAATTGGATGTTAACTAATATTATAGATGCTGGTCACAATTCTTGGTGATGGTTGCAACCATATTTGCGACATATAAAAATGGTTTGTGACACCTGGTTGTGACCACTTTGGTTTCCTTTTTTGGATCGTGACATGGAACACTAACTAATATATATGACAATACTGCTGTAAATACTAGAAATGCTCTTCAAAATTTGACTATGGTGCAAATGAATGGTACTAATAGTTTTAGACCACATTCTTCAGGATTTGTTTTTGCAAATCATCCTGTAAATAATGCAGATATATACTAGCTAAAATGGTGCCACATCAAGCTTTTGAAGAAGATTGGACTAATACTGGTGGAGAACCTACAGATGAGCCACCTAGATTGGCTGAAATAATGGCACTGTTCCTATAATATTACCTGGAATTCATCTTGGCCAAGCTATTTTTTATCTTAAAAATCAATATCCTACAGTATTAGAAGAAAGACACAAAGTACAATTTGGTAATCTTGATCAAGGTAATGATCCAGTTAAAACTTTCTATGAAAAAGTAAAAAAATACAGTAATTTACTAAATTTCAGTGATGAAGTAATCAACCATCAATTCTTTAGGGGGCTATCACCAGACAATCAGGTTGAAGTAGAACGAATTGGTTCTGAAAAAGCTGTAAGTGAATTATTTAAAAATTTAGAGAGTTGAAAAATGAAAATCAGCAGTTGTATCTGCTGAATGGTATTCACCAATTATTCACCAATTATCCAGTTAATTGGGTATTGAAAATTTTTCATTGATTAATTAATCAGGTGTTGAAAATTTCCACCAAATAATTGGTGAATAATCAGTGGTACAGAATATCCACGTAATTAATTTTATCACTATTACATTCTTTAATGACAGCCAAATGAACAAAATTGAACCCATTATTATTTGAAAGAGTTGTACATCCGGAAAATATAAAAAAATTTTACATGTGTCAATTGTAAGTTTAATAATAAAAAAGTGTAAAACTTACGTCGGCATCGTAAGATTTATCCAAGTTTACACTATTTTCCTGATGAATAAAAAAATTTTTTTTTAAATAAATTTAATATTTAACAGATATTCAGTGAATATTCAGTGAATAACCAATTATCTGGGTGTTGAATTCTATTGACTGACCAATTATCCAAATGTTGAGTTTTATTGATTGACTAATTGCTCAAACACCCAGATAATCAACAGATACAACCACTAACAAAAATCTGAAATGAGATTGGGTGTATCAAAGAGAACTGGAGCTACTGACCATCAAGCTCAAATACAACCTACATATCAATTGTCAGAATCATATAAACCAAGTCCTTCTGGATTTTGCAAAAATTCCAACAGCACCATATCAAAAAATGATGATTTGCAAATAGCCTGAGAATCTGCAAAAAATACTACTGATGAAATTCTTAATAAGTCTGCAACTTCAAGCAATAAAATAGTTGATTCTCCTGAAATTACTAAGGCAGAAAAAATACACAAACTTCTTGATAATTATAAAGCTTCATTAGATGAAATGGACTTAAATTACAAATCCAATATTAATAGAATAGTGAATAGAATTGCTGAAAGACTTGAGCAAAGGAGACTTGATAAGGAAATTGCTAGTATTTCTGGTGGAATTAATACTCTAAATATTAACAATCCTGTTCCTGGTCCTATAGATACTTCTAATTTGATACATGAAATTGCAACTGATGATGATGAATATACTCTCCGATTTGTTCGAAAAAAAAAGTAATGGAAAACTAGCCTTCTACTAAGACTAAGGGTGGGAAAGAATCTAATTCTTGTAAGGAAAATAAAGGACTATCAATTGATAAAAATTCGATTAAAATTATTCACAAATTAATTATAGAAGAATTGACTTGTTTGGGGTTATTGCAAAGTGAAGGCTCTTATACACCATCTCTGTCAAAAGAAACTTCTAAGCCTAGTGAATTCATAATGCCACAAATTTTCAATAATTCTATGGATATTGATCTTGTAAGGATTGAAAATGCCAAAGATTTAACTGCTATAGAGGGACAGATAGAGGGAGGATCATTGTCAATTCATGTTCTAACATCTCTTGGATGCCTGAGGAAATTTGTAAAGAACTTATTATAGTTGGCTTGGTCTAAAGACCTCCTAAATTTTGGGCAAATTTTAAAAATATAGAAGTCACTTTCTGTCCTACCTTTTAAAAAAATAGCGTCACTAGCTGATAGTATATGCATTTAATTTTAATGTAATGACGAGATATTCTCAAAAAATTATTTGTTGTAGAGTTCTTTTCTTTTTTAAAACATGTACTTTTACTATGCTCACGAGGAATTTCTAACTTAGAAAAATTATTACTAATTTTAGACTAGATTTTGACCATCATATCTAAATTTGGCAGTAAAATCACGTGTAGTCTTATTTTTTTGAAAAAAATTTATTACGAATTACAAAATTGCTATTACTATTTTTTTGAAATTTGACCATACAACGCAGCAATAAGGGTCTTTAGACCGAGACAACCATAATAATAATAATAATTATATGAACGACACAGACCAAGTGATGATTTTCTTGCTAACCCCCAATTACAATTCTATTTTTCTTTCCATCGCACAATAAATGACGCGACTCTATATATATTCTTAAGAAGGAAAATTTTTGCCAAAATAATCCCAGTTTTATAAATGAGGTTTTCTAACAAAAAACGGGTATCTACCATTTATGGTTCCAATAAACCTTTTCCAACAAAATTAAAATTAGAACGTGGGAGTGGTTTCCAATGATGAAATTCACACACAAATAAATTTCATTGGCTAATCGAAGATCATAGATATGTAAAAGAAAAAAAAAATTATCATTGCATATAATAGTAGTATATTATTATCTAATATATTGGAACAAACATCAACAGATCGTTTAATAGATCCATAAAAAGAAAAAGTAATTGCATACATATTATTTATTATCTAAAAATTTTTAACTAATAAATAATAACTAATAAATAATATCTATTTGTAAGAAGATTTGGGGTGTTTTTTTTTGAAAAAGGGAAAGGAAATAATTAATGCAACTCTTCCTGATTGTACGCCACAAAGTTGTTTAACATTAACAGAGAGAAAAAACAACACCATTAAATAATTTTTCTAAAATAAATAAATAATAAATAATAACGAACGGTCTCGTAACAATTCTTTCAGATTGTTTAACCGTAGATCTTTTTTTTTTTTGAAAAATAATAATTAATGCAACAAACAAACATACCATTTAATAATTTATAAATATATAGAATGAATGTTTGATGTTCTATCTAATCTATCTAATTTAAATAATTTAAAATAAATAATAATTATAATGGTCGCGTTCCTGATTGTACACCTATCACTTAGTGATCCGCGGATATATATGTCCGTTCACCCGTTTACGGTCACCACACAAAAAATACATCCATCGGGGACGGATAATCTAATAAAATACTAATTACCAATACTAAATGGTTTATAGTTAAAATTACTATCCTAGTTTAAACGATTTATTTACGTATTCTTTAAATTCTAATTTGCAAAAATAAAAAGATCTTTATTATGATAATTTAATATTTTAAATGGTTGAGGGGTTTGGTAGTCTATATTTATTATAGGATCCTGAGTTTACTAGTGCCTCTCAACTCCCAAGTAAAAGACTCGATGACTAAAAAACTTGGAAGCGAGGCAAAGAAATTTAATAATTTAGAGGTTGGCAATTTGTTTGATTAATTCAAAGAGTATATTTGTTTTAACATAGGATTTGTACTCTATGAATTTTTATGTTAGGAATAAATATACACAAACCTTCAATTGAAACTTTAAATAAATACAAGAATTAATCTAAACCCAAAAAAATACAAAGACATGGTTAAACATTTTAAAAAATATGTTTCAGACAACCATCTATCAACTTATTTAACCTTTATGATAAAAGTGCTATTTCTATATTATTGGGTAACTGTAAAAAAAGAGATGACGGAGATTTTAAATCTGATTTTTTATATGTACTATTAATAGTATTAATAGAGGTTTAAATTTTCTCCTAGAAGAGTAAAAATACTGATTCCATCATTATGCATTCAATGATATTAAAAGATTAAACAATTATATTTGTATTATGTATATATAGTTATTAGTAGTATTGTAGACTGGGGTTCTGGCACAATGGAAAAATACTAAATTTTCCCTTTTGACAGCTATTATTATGTAACCTTATATGGCGCAGCAGTATTTCCATATTACCTTTGATTTTTTTTTTTTTTTTGATCCATTTTGCTTCACATTTATTTACCTCTTTATACTTTGGAATTTTTTATTTATTATTCATTACTCAAAAACCATTGCATAAAAATCACCAAAAAACATATCTTAATCTAGAGTTTTATTTATTGATATAAAAATTAAACAATTTATTCTTTCACCATTATTTTCTCACAGCTTCTTCTCATTGAATTAATAAAATTGATTATAATATTATTTGGAATTCCTCCATTATATACTGCTCTAGCTCTAGGAGATCTTTAGGCATACACATTTCTACATTTCTTTTAACAATTGCCCAAAGGTTTCAATTGGAAGGCCATCCATAATTTTGGGAAATTTTCACTCAGAAATGTTTGACAAACCCTATTTGTATGCTTTGGGTCATTGTCTTGCTGAAAACACCAGTTGTTTCCAGCAATCTGTTGATCCCTTTCTTGTGTCTTTGTAGTATATCAACATAAAAGTTTGCATTCATAATTCCTCTGAAGCAAAAAATGACATAAATCTGTGATGGATAAGGAAGGGGTTTATTGGAGAGTCTAATAGACCATGATTTATTT